TTTACCATTGATTTATAATTTATTTTGAAAATTTACACTGAATTATAATTTTCCCAAAATATTATCAATAATACTGAGCTCATTTAGAAATTAATTATTTTATTTGAATTTTTTTAAAAAAATGGTATGTAAAAAAAATGATTTGATAATTTGATTTGATATTTTAATTATTTTAGTTAAAAAGCCAATCCTTCCCAAGCAACCCAATGTGGAAGAAATCTACTACATTCTTAGCAATTTTTTTTTTCTTTTTTATACTTTGTTTGGGTTTACTATTACTTTACATTGATTAATAAAATTTAAAATCATTGTACATTTTTTTGTAGTACGCTCTCTTAAGCATGGGAGTTTCGGAACACCTAAAAAAAAATTAACTTTTTTTTGTTATTATTAACTCTTTTACAAATTTATAAAAAATATATATATATATATATATTTTCAATTTGTCTTGTGTAGACTAATCTAAAAAATAAAAACAAATAAAAAAATTCCAAAAAAAATTAATAAAAAATAAAAAACCAAAATAAGTCCAAAAAGTTCACTATTTTTTATTTTTTATTTTTTTTGGACTTTTAAAAAAAAATTTGAAAAATTTATAATTTTTTGGTCTACCTTGTCGAGCTAAATTTAGAAGTCTAAAACTTTTTATTTTTTGTTTAAAAAAAAAAAGTTTACTAAAGACAAAAATAAGCGCATACACACAAGAACAAAAAAATAATAATAAAACCAAATAGGTAAACTCCACACACTATACAAGTACGAGAGCCAAGTATAAACATGCGTATTCGGCAAACGAAGTATATCTGAACCCATTCATCATAGGCCCAAACCAAGCCTGGCCCATTGGATTGCTGAAGATAAAAGCGCCGAGCAGCATGATCACCGATTAAAGGATATGTTGAATAAGTGATACCAGCAGAATCGACAAATAACTATGCCAAGTACCAAAGTGGGCCAAGGCTGTCCCTTTCCAGAGATGTAATAAGAACTTCGGCCGTAACATTATGGTAATGATGACAAACAACTCAAATTGCACAAGAAATATCTACACCAAATGGCTATAAAAAGAAAGCAGAGAGAAGAAGAAATGTATGCACTATCAACCAACAAAACTGTATCCCTGTTCCAAAATATTTGGCTCATTCCCTCTCATTCAAAATCTGACTCAGCCATTGGAGCGTGAATTCTAACACCCGTGAACGGAGTATTTCCTTTTTCAGTTACAAGAGTAAAGATTCATAGTTCGGTTCTTTTGTCTTCCCTTTCTTATCTCGGCTTTCCATGTAGAACCCATAATACGGTTTTAGACCGAACCAACGACTTTCGACCGGTATAACCCCAAGACCGGCACAACTCCAAGTTGCTTTCGGACCGAAGTACCTCTATAGTCACTGTGCCGATGTAACTTTGTCCCTCTTATGCCGGAGTAGCTTTGCCTCTCCTCGGCCGGAGTAACCCTGTCTCTCCTGGGCCGGAGTAACCATACCTCTCCTGGGCCGGAGTAACCTTGCGGCCTTTTCACCAAGTCCTTGGCACTTTGGGCCACGAAGCCTATCACATAGCTCGGCCCAATTTTTACCAAAAATTACCCTCTCAGTATAGATATTGCATCTGTGATGATAGTAAAACATGCGCTAACAAGTATACATATGATGTACACAATTTAATGGGAGGAGAATTTATTGGTTGGTCTTGAGGACTGTCATGTGATGTTACAATGTTGTTATAAGTGGTGCAGAGCATGAAATTTATGAACTTATATTGAGTGATTGAAAAACATGAAAGGATGAATTATAATTGATACGAGGTATGATTACGTAGCATACTAACATCAACCAATGATTTTTGTTAACAAGAGAGATCTTGTTGTGATGTCCCCGTCTATTTTGTCAGGTAGTTAGTAGCTGCAACATGTCATATCTGAACCAAGTGTAATTATTCAATAATCTCAGAGTATAGACACCTAGTATTCCATAACATTGTGATTGGTGAAGAAGGTGGATAGTTGGGGTATTGTGTTGTGTGATTGAGGAACATGAAGGGAACATATTAAATAATAATTGGTTAAGGAGTATGGACATGTGGTACTTCAAGAATATTGAATAATTTTCCCTGAACCAAAATATTAGAAAAAATTATAAGTGGTAAGATAAAAAAATAAATCATAAAATCATGAAAAAATTTATCATTTCAATTATTAAAATTTGTAAGTTTTACCATTGATTTATAATTTATTTTGAAAATTTACACTGAATTATAATTTTCCCAAAATATTATCAATAATACTGAGCTCATTTAGAAATTAATTATTTTATTTGAATTTTTTTAAAAAAATGGTATGTAAAAAAAATGATTTGATAATTTGATTTGATATTTTAATTATTTTAGTTAAAAAGCCAATCCTTCCCAAGCAACCCAATGTGGAAGAAATCTACTACATTCTTAGCAATTTTTTTTTTCTTTTTTATACTTTGTTTGGGTTTACTATTACTTTACATTGATTAATAAAATTTAAAATCATTGTACGTTTTTTTGTAGTACACTCTCTTAAGCATGGGAGTTTCGGAACACCTAAAAAAACATTAACTTTTTTTTTGTTATTATTAACTCTTTTACAAATTTATAATATATATATATATATATTTTCAATTTGTCTTGTGTAGACTAATCTAAAAAATAAAAACAAATAAAAAAATTCCAAAAAAAAAATTAATAAAAAATAAAAAACCAAAATAAGTCCAAAAAGTTCACTATTTTTTTATTTTTTATTTTTTTTGGACTTTTTTTTAAAAACAAATATTGAAAAATTTATAATTTTTTGGTCTACCTTGTCGAGCTAAATTTAGAAGTCCAAAACTTTTTATTTTTTGTTTAAAAAAAAAAGTTTACTAAAGACAAAAATAAGCGCATACACACAAGAACAACAAAATAATAATAAAACCAAATAGGTAAACTCCACACACTATACAAGTACGAGAGCCAAGTATAAACTTGCGTATTCGGCAAACGAAGTATATCTGAACCCATTCATCATAGGCCCAAACCAAGCCTGGCCCATTGGATTGCTGAGGATAAAAGCGCCGAGCAGCATGATCGCCAATTAAAGGGTATGTTGAATAAGTGATACCAGCAAAATCGACAAATAACTATGCCATGTACCAAAGTGGGCCCAAGCTGTCCCTTTCCAGAGGTGTAATAAGAACTTCGGCCGTAACATTATGGTAATGATAACAAGCAACTCAAATTGCACAGGAAATATCTACACCAAATGGCTATAAAAAGAAAGCAGAGAGAAGAAGAAATGTATGTACTATCAACCAACAAAACTGTATCCCTGTTCCAAAATATTTGGCTCATTCCCTCTCATTCAAAATTTGACTTAACCGTTGGAGCATGAATTCTAACACCCGCGAACGGAGTATTTCCTTTTTCAGGCACAAGAGTAAAGATCAAGTAAGGGTTTGTTTGGGATGAAAGAATATTGAAGAACCACCCCTCAAAATTGGCACCGTCTGTGAGAATATTCCAACTTATCCATGGCAGACCTAGTTATTGACCTTCCAACTAACGAATTCGACTTGACGGTAGTAGGAGAAGCCTCCAATCCTGACAGAACTCCCGCGCGACGAGCCTTGAATTTCGATCCCTTAACTCTATCTATACCACCAACACTTGCTGAAGATACCATGCAAACACTTATAGACCAAGTCAAAAGCAAGGAACAACATTTTGAAGTCAAGACCATTGAAAATGAGCATCTTCACCAAGAATTGGCAAAATCTCAAAAGGCCTCATGCTGTGAACATGGCTGATTTCCGGTACGAACCCATCAGCAATACCTCCGAAGACGTGGAGACAGAAATAGCTCTACAAGTTCATCACAAAGTGAACCTAGGAAGAGCAATTGAGAGAGACTCGAGTTCGTCCGATTAACAAAACTCCTTGCGGGCACGACAACGGACGCAAAAATACAAGGATGATGATTCCAACTTAGAAAATAGACACAATCCATTCATCTGACGGATAGCAAAGGTTTCCTTGCTCAAGAAGTTCAAGGCACCATTATTTACCCTATACGATGGCAAGTCGGATCCCACTGATCATGTATGTCATTATATGCAAGTTATGACGTTACATGCAGAAGGTGAAGCACTTATGTGCCACATCTTCCCGATCAGTTTAAGCCTCTTGGCTATCAGGTGGTATTATAAACTTGAATCGACCTCAATCAAGAGTTTTCATCAACTCCAAAAGTCCTTCCAAGCCAGATTCATCACCAATGAGACATAGCCTAAACAGGTAGATTCCTTGTGGGCGATGAAGATTGGGACCAATGAGACTCTAAGGGCATACTCGACACAGTACAGAGAGTGTTTCAATCTTGTTGATAATGATTGCAATAACTCCATGGCCATTACTTCCTTGAAAATGGGACTCGTTCTAGATAGCCTCCTTCGGAGCTTTTTTACTCGAAAACCACGAAAGTTACTTTGGGCTTTGATAAAGAAAATGATGCCCTCCAAACAAATGCAGGGCTTCTAGCCTTGGAGTTGGTGGCACCAGTTATGGCTCAGCCACTAACAATAGTACCCCCGACTAGAGAAGCTACATGGCCAAGGAGAAACCCAAAGTGACATGTTAATAAAGGATAACTGCTGAAGATCACGCCAACGCAATGAGCAATACCAAGTTGATACTAGGCATCAATGGTGGTCTGACAAAAAATACACAAAATTTATTGAGTCGATTAGCCAGATCCTCCCAAAAATCAAACACCGTACCTATTTCAATGGCCAACCAAAATGTCTAGGCCCCCTAATATGTGAAGAAGAGATTAGAGGTGTGATTATCACCAAGATTAAGGACAAATGTTGTGCCATGAAGGATCATCTCGAGGATTTGACAAAGGATGGCCACATGTCCGATTACCTTCCAAAAATAGTTGCACCGACCAATGCTTTAACTATTCAATCAGATTCTTCTCCACTCGGTGTGATCCAATGATTTACAACATCCTCAATTTGAACAATATAAACTCAGTCCAGGTGCATCTAACCAAGGGGTCTACACTCTCTCGTTCAGAGTCAAAACCCCAACCTAAGAGGCAGCGTGGAGCACCAACTAATGAAATTAGCTTTTCTGATAATGATCACGCAAGGTTTACTTTTCCCCATAGTGATGCCCTAGTTATAGACTTGAGGGTAAATAGGTACTCTATCGAACAAATCCTCATCAATCAAGGGAGCAACTATGAAATCATGTACTACAAAACCTTTCTCAAGCTCGGCCTGAAGGATGGGGATCTCAAACCAGCAGATTACCCCCTATTTGACTTTAATGCCAATCTTGAGTACCCTCTTGGCAACATTGTGTTGCCCATCCGTGCCAGCACCAAGACACTAGATGTGAAATTCCTAGTTGTCAAGCTCTCATCTTCTTACAACATAATTATGGGCCGAATGCGGCTTCACACGATGAAGGTTGTGCTGAGCACAAACCATCAGCTTTTGCAGTTCCCTACCGAGCATGACATTGAGCAAATTCGGGATCTCAAAAATCAATGAAGGAATGTTACCTTGCGGCTCTTACCACAAAAACAACAGAGCGAGAGGTCAATTCTATAGAGGTACCAGATCAGGAGATTCTTGAAGATGTTGGGAAAATTCCAACAGACAAAGTAATTGAGGATTTGGATCGTATTGTGATTTCTGAGGGTTCGGAAAAATTCTTCCTCATTGGGGCATACCTTCATGCTACCGAATGGCAGGAGCAGGTCACTTTTCTTTCTGGCGGTAGACACCCCATTTTCACTGGCCATAAGACTTGGGCACTTTCTTTTGATTACCTGATGATGAAAATAAGAATATGCTATCTCACAAAATTCTTAGTGAAAAGATGGAATTTAAGCTTTAATCCAACCTTCACCCATTTTGGTCAAATTGTTTTAAATTGGTTTTAGCCTAAATTTTACATATTTGGCCCACTAAAATATATTTTATTAGTCCATGTATTTTTATTTTATAATTTTCCATATTTTTGTGTTTTTTTTTTTTTGGTATTTGCACATATATTTATACTAATAATAGCTTTTATATATTATTATATTATAAAATGCACAATAATGTTACTGTGCAGCTTTTGAAAATCACGTTGATTGCACAGTGTTTTACTATGCAACCATTTGAAAAACCTGCCACTCCACCATTTGTCTTTTGTTTGTTTTTTTATTTCATTTTATATAAATAGGGGGAATCAGATCAAGAAAGAGGAGAAAATATTAGAGATTTATTTTCAAAGAGAAGAAAAAAATAAGAAAAACAAAAATTAGATTTTAAAGGAGGGAAACAAAAAATATTAGACATTTTATTTTTTCTGAACCAAACATTTCTTTCCATTCTCTTTATTGCCTTTTTACCAATACACCAAAATACCATTAAAGCTTAAATTTTAAATTTTGGACTGAGAATTGAAAACACATTCTACAATCTTAAGGGTGATCAGAAGAAAGTTTCAAAATTAGAAAATTCATCATTTTCACGAAAGGTGAATTTTTGCAAACTCTCATTTAATTTAAAATGTGATATAACTTGTTTAAATACTTCTTTTACTACTTTTCATAACTATTTTTTTTAAAATCATTTTACAGTGAAGGTTGCACCATCCACATATCTGTTGTAATTTATTTATTTATTTTAATATAACTGTTTTACCGCTTTAAAGGGAAGGCTGCACCACCCACATATTTGTCGTAATTTATTGTTGTACACAAACTGTTGTAATTTATTGCTTTAAATAAACTGCTATAATTTACCGCTTTAAATGGTCAGTGCACACCACCTACATAAACTGTTGTAATTTGTTGTTTTGAATGGTCAGTCAAAACCACCTAATTTGTTAAAAATGTGACCCCGACAGATGAATAGTGACTGGTGGTGAATAGTAATCTTCAGTGGTGAATAATAACCTTTGGCGGTGAATAGTAACCCCAGTAATGAATAGTACCTTCGACGATGAATAGTAACTGCAGATAAAAAATGCCCGATAAAATAAATAATGACCAAGGAGGGTGAATGGTAGCTACCGCAGTGAATAATACTACTGGAAATGAATAGTACTCCACTGGATGAATAGTGCTCCCACAAAATAAGTTTTCCCAAGCAAAACAAAGCAATCTTCCAGCAACAAGCAGAATCATTTCTGGCAGTCAATTTCCGAGGCATCTTTCTATTTTCTTTTAATTTGAGAGATTTGTGAGATTTTATTTATGTTGTGATAATCTTTTCTCTCTCCCTTGTCTTTTATTTGATTTTGTAATTATTCAGTGATGTAATAATTCTCCACCCCTACTTCTTTCTATTCCTTTCATTTACTCGCTATTTCTATAAATAAGCATCATGTTTTATTTTTCATCATACCTGTGCTTTGTATCTATATTTCATGCATCAAGATTTGGCTCATTTGTATCTGTGAATTTAATCAATTTTTTATGTGATTATGTGCACTACCTCATGTTCTTGAGATGATTCACATGTCATGTTTTAGTAGCCAAATCTCTAGTCGCATTTTGTGTATACGATTTTTGTATTTGTTTTCTAGTTGTATTAGGATTTTTGTATATAAGATCATGTATATTTCCTAACTTTATTTTCCAGCCATTCTCGAGACGTCAGTAAATATGTGACCTTTTATGCTTTAGCATCCTGTTTGTATGTGTTTTTCTTATTATGTCAAGTTTTCTACCATGTGGCTATTTGCTTATGTGATATATCTCTATGAATGCCAGTGGATGGAGGTTATGTCATTTTATTTGGAATAATATTGTTTTCATGCTTGTGAGCTCGATTTCTTTTGAGTTGCACATCTTCAAAACTCTTTCAAAAATACATGGAATCAAGTTGTTCCAAAATGAATGATATGGTATATACTTGTTTTGCTTCACGTAGTAAATTTTAGGATTTATTAAATAACCGAAATATGAACATATAAAGTTCATAAAATTCATATCATGATTTAGTAGAAACCAATCATTTGATCGGGTGAGCGGGGTGCTCAATTAATGACCTTTCCCCCCCCCCCCATACCTAAGGTTCCAAACAAAGACATCTCCAGTTATGACGAACAATGGCCTTGGCATGAGTCACGGGTTTTCTAATTTTATCAAAATATTAGGTGGAGACTCTAAGATCTAGTGATGTAGTCCATTTCTAACAAAAGTTTTGCAATAAAATAGATTTTCTATTAAAAAAAATAGTCAAATTTGGACTCTCATATATGTTTCACATTGCACTCGTGAGACTAGATCAAAGAAATCAAGAGTCTAAACTGTTTAGCATGCTCTGGTACTCCCCGGGCAATGCGACAGTTTTTGGTGACTCTGTTGGCAATATTAAGAAACGTTAACTCGAACTCCATGATATAAATTTTATTTTCAATTATGTGTGCATTGCATTTCATGCATTTGTGCACTTAAAGTTCCTGTGTTGCCTAAATCCTAGTGGGAGCACATGCAAGGTTTTTGTAATACTATACTATTGACGCGTTACTTTGGAATTCCTGTGTTAATACCTCTTAAGATCTATCAAAAAGGTAGCTCCGCTATCTAAGGTTATCGGACTTACAAGAGAGGCTATATTGACTCTTTCGACGTCTTGGGATCTTACTTGGCTATTAACCAAAGGTTTTTTTAGTGACGTCACCTTGACTTTAACCCCTAGGATAGAACCAACCCTATATATATAGTGAGCTATATCACCTTTCCCAACTTAGGATAGGATGCTCTCCCATTTCTAGGATGTATGATACCACTTGTTTGAATAGTGAAGCTCTAGATCATTTCAAAGTTAGGACAGGATAACCCTACCCTCCATAGGGGTATTTGTTCTCTTTATTGCTATGCGTTATGCATTGTATAGAGATTCTTTAATTCAGATAAGTGGTTCAAGCGTATCAATTTATGGGGTTGAGTTTAGATTTTTGGTGGGGCATACAGTGATGTAGTAATCAATTGTGGGAATTGAGCCAAAGTGCTGTCGGGATTCTGATTGGGGGTTTTGTTTTTGGTTTTCCTTTTTCCAATTCATTATAGCACCATAGCTTTAGAAAAGTCTAATATCCCACAAAGTCTACCAACATGAATCCATAGAACTTGCGGGATATGAGACTAGTTCTATGATTGAGAAATTACCACCTGTTAATTGTACGAGCTTTATTTTGCACGCGGTGGATGGCTCATACTTAAACTGGTAATTCGAAAAAGGTTTAATTTCAAGTTTTGAATCAAATGTTGAGTCCAAATCTGATTCCATCGAGTTTGTGGAGTCGGATTCAAACTCGAGTTAGTCTAGTCAGCTAAAATATGTTGATTTTGGGAGTGCTAACCTAGACATCTCTGTCATGTCTAAGTCTTATTTGTCATTTTTTTTTGTCTATTGTCATCTCTGAGTCGGAGTTCCTTTTGAATAAAAGTGCTGTAGATTTTTCCTACTTCTCTGTGCCCTTAGTTCATTGCATTGACTAAAAATGCTCAAAGCATTTTCCAAAAGTCTGATAAAAACGAAGAGAAAAAAATTTCTCGGGATTTGAAATTTGATCAACTGGGAGGAAAAGAGTTGTGCTAAGCACTTAATGGATGAGATCATGTTTGTTAGTGTGGGTACTGAGAAGTAGGAAAAATCTACAGCACATGTCTTTAGAAAAACACAAGCGATAAGTCGCTGTAGACGTGCCCGAACGTCCCGGCTCCGCGCGTGAATGGCGCGAAATCCGCTTTGTTCATTAGCTACTACAGTTCGGACTCAATGTCACGGTTCTGAATCTAATCTCGCAAAGTGCAATGCAAGACTGATAAATCACCAAAGAGTCCAAATCTAGCAAATCGTTTTGAAAAACTGATTTTAATAAAGAAGTGCCAAACATGGACTGTTTTGCCAGATACAGAGTCGCCACCTAAATGTTTTTGTTTTAGGAAATTTAGGAAACCCTGACTCGTGCCTAAGGCCACGTGTCTGTCATCACCAAAGTTGCCTCGGCTCAGGAACTTGGGTACGAGAGGAGAAGGTCATGCAATGAGCACCCCCGCTCGCCCGATCAAAGATCGGCCTTTACTAACATGATATTTTGTTTTTGAAAACACATGTGTTCTTATTCCGGTTTATTAATCTATCATTACTACGTGATGCGCATAACACACAAGTATAGACTAAATCGCCTAAGTTGGAACAAAACATCTCATGTTTGTTTGAAAACGGTTTGAAGGTGCTACTCGCAAGAAGGCTAAGACGTGGATTTGCCACCCTCAAGTGGGCTTAGAAAACATGATTTTGCCACTCCGCAAAGTGGGCTTAAAACTCGCATTTTGATGAATTGTTCCAATTCAAGCAATGATGCCTTCATCCACAAGCATTCATGCAGTTAAACATATAAGCAGTTAGCCTCATGGCAAGTATGCTATCATGGCAATCAATAACACATGCAGTATGCTAAAGCATAAACACTCACAGTGTACTCCGAGCCAAAACAGAAGCTAGTTAGTAATCAATGCATAATCATAGCTATGTTAAGATGC